CTCTCTCTCTCTCTCTCTCTCTCTCTCTCTCAACTGAAACTGTCGAACAGATGTGTTTGGAATTCCTTTAAGAGAGAGAGAATGTGTTTGAATGGAAGAAAACACATTAAAATATAATAATTATATTTTTCATAAACTCAATACATATTCATCGGAAGGACTAAAAGCCTTGTGTTGAATATAAGGACTCATTTTTGCATAAAAATTGCTAAAAAGGGTCTCTCTTTCTCTCTCTCCATCTCTCTGTATATTTGTTGTGAATATACGTTGAAACTAATTATCTCTCTCTTATCTATTGTTTCACAAATAATTAAGCGCTTAATGTATGCACTCTATTATGTGGACACAAACGAGTCGATCGGTTGTAATCGTGAACGGAATTGACTGTAAAATTATGAAAATACATATTTTTATGTCAAAATCTATAGACTAAACACTAGAGATCTTTCAGACACTATAAGAGAGCTGTGGATAAAAACGGGAGCCCATGAATGAAACTGATTATCTTTGTCTCTCTTTCTCTCTCTTCATATGACCACAAAATATGATCACCGACTCAAACATATGGCGCAAATATTTAGCATATTTCTTCGTGTGTATGTTGTGTTGTGTTGGGCCACCAGTCCTGTTAAAAGTCCTCATAAGTGGTATACTTAGAGAGGGAATTTAAAAAGGTTATGGATTTTTTGTTAGCTATATGTTAGTCAATGAAGTGAACAAAATGCTATTTAGGGATAGGTTTTTGGTTGTGCGACAAAAAATAACACACAAAACATCTCTCTCTCTCTCTCTCTCTCGAAACTGTCGAACAGATGTGTTTGGAATTCCTTTAAGAGAGAGAATGTGTTTGAATGAAAGAAAACACATTAAAATATAATAATTATATTTTTCATAAACTCAATACATATTCATCGGAAGGACTAAAAGCCTTGTGTTGAATATAAGGACTCATTTTTGCATAAAAATTGCTAAAAAGGTTCTCTCTTTCTCTCTCCATCTTTCTGTATATGTGTTGTAAATATACGTTGAAACTAATTATCTCTCTCTTATCTATTGTTTCACAAATAATTAAGCGCTTAATGTATGCACTCTATTATGTGGACACAAACGAGTCGATCGGCTGTAATCGTGAACGGAATTAACTGTAAAATTATGAAAATACATATTTTTATGTCAAAATCTATAGACTAAACACTAGAGATCTTTCAGACACTATAAGAGAGCTGTGGATAAAAACGGGAGCTCATGAATGAAACTGATTATCTTTGTCTCTCATATGACCACAAAATATGATCACCGACTCAAACATATGGCGCAAATATTTAGCATATTTCTTCGTGTGTATGTTGTGTTGTGTTGGGCCACCAGTCCTGTTAAAAGTCCTCATAAGTGGTATACTATGTCCTAATTAAATGTAGCGTAACTCCCGATGCCTACCATTCCTCCGGCACTCACACGTTGTGTCCATTCGTGTGGTCGCATATAGTTATGACCAGAATTTGTTTGTCGGTTTGGGAGGTCTGAGCCGTATTAGTGAAGGGAAATGGTAGGGCTCTGGCTATGGTATGGTGTGCTCTATGTGTGAGGTCGTGACATACAGTTATTTAATATACCCGTCGAGTAAAGCATATATTCATTCAACAAAAAATCATTTATGATATTATATTGTATTTAGTAGTACTCTATAGACACAGAACTTGTGGTGTCCTTAAGAATCGATGCAATATATATCTGAGACCGTAATTCCTCTGCGGTCTGGTATACACACGACGCGATCGCACACATAGTCTCTCTCTCTCTCTCTCTCTCTCTCTCTCTTCATGTAATGGCGATTAGTATATAATATGTTTTCATGTATTTGGCGTCTCTCTCGCTATAATAATAAGCCATGTCTTTAAACTGCACCCAAACTCGGCGTTAGGCAGTACTGGCAAAAGTGAAGGCACCCATAGGTGTACTGCCGCTCACATACAATGAACACCTATTTATTATATTAATTGCATTTTTTAAGGAATAGTCATTACGTTTATACTATTAATGAATATTTAATCGCATAAATATTTATTAATATATGGAAAATCATTTAAATTTTAATTAAAGTAATAAATTTTTGGTCATATTTATGATGCGATATTTACTAAAACAAAAATACACTTTACAATACCGAATGTTGACTGTGCTAGCTGCTCTCCCTCCCTCTCTCTCTCTCTCTCTCTCTCTCTCTCTCTCTCTCTCTGATGTATTTATATTTGGAGTGCATTTGCGAGCGAATATGTGCTGAAGAAGTGAATGAATGATAATAAGTTATATTGACGTGATTTGATTTGTAGTGAATGTATGACACAATTGGTTGTTGTGTTGTGAATATTATTGATTGCGTTTAGTTTGTACCGCAAGTGGTGTTTGACGTGTGTCTACACTATTAGTACAGTATTTTATAAATTGTTTTAAAAAGTAAATTAAATTTGAAATAATTTATCGATTAATGTATTGATAGTTGATTTAATTAAATTAATAAGTAGAGTTATCACAATGTTTGATTAAATATGAAATACAGTGTTGTAATCGATTAGATTGATTACAATAGTTGATTAAAACATGATTTATAAATTGTTCATGTCCAATGACACACGTCAACATCTAATCATATTTGTGAAGTTATTTTGACGACACTGTAAAATACCAGTAATTTTGTGTACTTTAATTTAATTACAATGTTATTGGGTTTACTTACATGGCCTAATCATTAGGTAAATCTACCTAGATAACGCTAAAAGTTCTATTAATTAAGAGTTACCAGATGGTGATTTTATAAATTTTAAATTAATTAATTTAATTAAATGATGGCATAAAATTAGTCTGTTATAGCCCACTAGTGAGTGAGTTAATGATTTAGAGTGCATGACAAATGATTTTAATTAAGAATATTCCAACTTATATTGTAATTCAATATTTTATTAATGAGTTTAGATTAATAATTAAAGTGCACAAGGTCAATAATATTTGATCAAATTAATTTTATTTTTATTGTAATGAATGTCTTAAGCGTCCACACAATTAATGTCTTCAATTAAGTGAGCGATTCCTATACTATACTGTATAAGAATATCCATATATCGATTCATTTAAATGTGGTATTTATAAAAAATAACTTATTACGGTATATTTTAAAAGTTAACCATTGGTTAATTAGCAATTACTTATTTTGATCAATCAGTTATTGCATTCGAGAACTTGAACATTGAATTCAATTTTATACATAAGTTTAATTATTATTAAATATTACAGTAAGTTTGATAAATATTACAATTAAAAACTACGGTATAGTTGATAACAATTGAATTGAATGGATATGCTCAATTTATATATTAATTAATTGTTAAACACAAATATTTAAAATGATAATTAGAAATGACAATAAAAATATGAATAAATTGACTCTAATATCGATGAATTAATTGATTTAATTAAATACCTGAGCATTGAGTCAATTAGTTGAGTACCAAAAACGAATTGATGAGAAAATACACATCAAATGATTGTGAAAGTTGAGAGTAGTTGTAGTGAAAAGAAAGCGATAAGAAATAGGGAATCGTAAAAAAGTAGTGCATTTGCGGGCCTTTGAACTCAATTGTGTTGGAGGTGTGGTGTGTGTTGAGTACAGGGCTGGTAGTGATGACCCGTTGGTGTGTTAGTGGTGTATAGAGAGAGTGGCATACCGTTGAAGGTATAAGTTTTGCTGCAAATATAACTCTTTGAGCACTGATTTGGTGTCTCAATGCCGAAACGCGAGAGAGTCGGGTCACGAGAGGACGACTGAAGGACTAATTCAAGGCTTAAGCAGTAGTGGAGGTCAACGAGAGGTGATCGTCCGCTCCCCTCTTCTCTCTCCGACTGCTTTCAAGGGCTTTCAAAGCAATGGAAAGCGATTCAAGGTTTCGCGCATCACTCATGTGTTGTTATATACCATTGGATGTGATGTTACCTTTTGCGAGGACACATCGATCCGTGCCTTTACACCAATTCTCCCACTAAAACGTCAATCGTTGCTATCTTTACAATACTTACCATTGCTTTTAATTCAGACACAAATCTATAGCAACACGTATTCACAATCTATTATTATCTGCCAATACATCCATAGGATTTACATTACAATTCTTTTAACTTTTTTCAACAAAAATGTTTGCAATCATTTCATATGAATTAGATTTTGATTTATTTTTGATACCAATTCACAGTCAATACATAGATTTATTAATTGCTTTGAAAATGATTTAACTCCACTATTGCATTAGGATAGCAAAGTGTGATAGTCTATCACTGATTAAACAATAGACATAAATATATGGCACAAAATCATTAATTATATGGCGATTATTAAAAGATTAAATTAGAATTAATTGTTTATTTATAAATAATTATTGAGCTTTAAATTTGAATTATAATTAACAGGAAGGAGTGCCGAGAGTACCCATTCCTGGCTCAATGCCGGGACCGGGAATTGGTCGGGCAGTGGGTCGCGGTATGCCAACAGCGGCTCCCGTAGCGGGTGCTCCGCCTGGACTTCAAGGACCGGTGCGAGGAGTGGGCGGTCCGGCGGCTACTGTTATGGCACCGCAAGGAAGAGGTCTTCCGCCGACTCCGCCCTCAACACCTCAGGGAATTGGAGGCCGAGGCGCTCCACCCCCAGGACTTATGGGTCCGCCTCCAGGTATGATACCAGGAATGCCGGGCGCACCACAAGGCATGCCAATGGGCAGAGGTATGCCTCCAACTGGACCGCCACCTATGGGACCACCGCCTGGTATGAGAGCCCCTCCGCCAGGTATGATGAGAGGAGCCCCACCGCCGGGCGCTCCGGGATTGCCTCGTCCTCCACATTAATAATGCAATCGATTCGACAAATAATCATTACTTTGATTAATAAAACTTTTTTCATTTTAATTAAATTTTCTTTTAATTAAATTCCATTAATTAATTTAATTTAAATTGACATTTAATCGAATATTTGTATAACATTTGCGTTGAAAATCATTTTCAAATAATTATCTCTACATTAATAACAGCAATGAATTAAAATATAATTAAAATCAAACAAAACAAAAAACTATTTGAATCCTAACTTAAAGAACCATTGAAAAGGGTTTTTCTATGTATTGTCTGAACGCTTGTAGCCATTGAGCGCCAACGGCTCCGTCGACTACTCTATGATCGCAACTAAGGGTAACTGTCATGAAAGAAGCGGCTCTAGTCTTGCCGTCACTGACCGGTACGAGACGTCTCTGAGTGCCGCCGACCGCCAGAATACAAGACTGCGGAGGGTTTATAACCGCAGAGAAACTGTTAATGCCATACATTCCCAGATTAGATATCGTAAACGTTCCGCCAATGAATTCGTTTGGTTGCAAACGACCTGTCATTCAATATATTTGTTATGATTTGAAATCATTTTTGCCTTTCACTCAATTCATACCTTCTCTCGCTTTAAGTGCTAACTGTTTGACATCTTGTGATATTTCTTTGACTCCTTTGGTGTGTGCGTTGAACACAATGGGTGTTATGAGTCCGGCCTCAGTGCTGACCGCAACGCTCACGTCTACGGAATTGTATTGTCTGATGAAAGTATCCATCCATGAACTGTTGGCTTCGGGCACTTGAATACATGCCAGCGATGAAGCCTTTATTATAAAGTCATTGAGAGATAGTTTCATCTTCTCTTTGCTTAACATTTCGTTTAATTGTGTTCTCAATCTTTATAACAAAAAAACCAATTTTTATATAAAGCGAATAAAATTTGGTTAAAAAATTAACTCAAACCTTAAGAGTTCGTCGATTTCCAACTCCACTGTTAGATAATAATGAGGTATTGTTTGCTTTGATTGCAACAATCGTTTAGCGATGGTTAGTCTCATACTAGTCAGCGCAGTATCAGTGAACTCGAGAGCGCGCGGACCACCACTTATACCAATCGGTGCGCTCATAACATCTGCGCCACGAATTCTCCCTCCGGGACCGCTTCCGGCGCCCGAAAGCGCATTCAGATCTATACCTTTCTCTGCGGCTAAACGTCGGGCTAAAGGACTGGCGAATAGTCGACCGCCAATTCCTGAGGCAGAAAAAGTCTGCTTCGCGGCCATTGGCTGCGACGGTGCGGACGCCGCAGAAGGGATCGGCTTTGGCGCCGACGGTGCGCTCGGCTTAGCCTCCGCTTTGGGTTTGGTTTTGAGGGGATCACTGGTGTCCACGAAATCCTTGAAGGCCTGAATGTCGGCTTCATTTTCAACAATTATACACAGAAGCTATCGATTGAAGTGCAAAAACAATGGTTGAAGTGGTGAACGAGAAAATATGAGTGAACCATACCTTCCCGATGGGCACGTCTTTAGTGCCGGCGGCCACCAGAATGCGGGCCAGAAAGCCCTCATCGGGTGTCTCGAAACCCATGGTCGCCTTATCGGTCTCGATCTCAGCCAAGTGTTTTGAGGGGATCACTGGTGTCCACGAAATCCTTGAAGGCCTGAATGTCGGCTTCATTTTCAACAATTATACACAGAAGCTATCGATTGAAGTGCAAAAACAATGGTTGAAGTGGTGAACGAGAAACTAATGAGCGCCTAATAAATGAGTGAACCATACCTTCCCGATGGGCACGTCTTTAGTGCCGGCGGCCACCAGAATGCGGGCCAGAAAGCCCTCATCGGGTGTCTCGAAACCCATGGTCGCCTTATCGGTCTCGATCTCAGCCAAGTATGAGTGAACCATACCTTCCCGATGGGCACGTCTTTAGTGCCGGCGGCCACCAGAATGCGGGCCAGAAAGCCCTCATCGGGTGTCTCGAAACCCATGGTCGCCTTATCGGTCTCGATCTCAGCCAAGAGGTCGCCCTCATGAAGGGGGTCGCCCTCCTTCTTCTCCCACGAGATGATAGTTCCCAACTCCATAGTCGGCGACAGAGCAGGCAATACAACGCGACTGTGTTTCGGGAGATTCGCTTCCGACGCGTAACCACTTCTTCGGCAATCAATTAATGGACTAATGCTTTGCTTCGGCAATACATTTGACGCCAATATTTGACCGCATTTTCTATAAAATATCGCAAAATGGATATAATTGTGAGAATTTGTATTCAAACCCGAAATAAGACTCACTTTAAATGGATGTCTGAATGGATTGACGGCTTGTTTAGCGTCGAGGAAGTGGTGAGAGTTCGTGACCTTTTGGCCAAAGCATTGCACCGACGGCTGCATTGACTCAATAGAGACGACCGAAACATTGCGAACAATTCAAACACCGATTCACTGAACAAACAATACTTATAGTAATTAAGTGTGAATTAAATTAAGGGAAACAGTAATGAAATCATGCGATCATTGAATCATTCAATTATTGGATCATTTGCTCAAACATTTAAAGAGCTATTCATATAATCCGTACGATTTGTAAACACTATTACGTAATAGAAGTACAGAATTGTATGAATGAATTGATTAGAACACAAAACATGTGCAAAAGAATTGGCATTTCGTTCGTAAAGTCTATGCAATGGGAGAGCAGTGGAGACCAGTGTTGGCAACGCTGGCTGTGCTCTCACACGGGGACCACAATTACGGCCCAAACGTACGTTATATGCGAACGACTCGAACCAAAGTTACGATTAAAAGGCATTTGAAATGAAAAGTCGGAAACAATGAGTGTTTGAATGTTTTGTGCGTTAATTGTGTGACAAATGAGTTGTTTGAGAGGTTTGTGTGGTTTGTGTCGGCACTCAATGGCCAGACATGTGTTGCGAAACAATACGAGTATTTGTTTGTCAAACGAGTTGTTAGTGAATAAAGTGATGACAAGAGTCGCCAAAACGGCTCACTTTCGGCACAAAAGTGACGGCAAAACGGATTTGGAGTCAATTGTAATCCCGGTTTCGGTCCGACGGACGCAAACGCCCGACGATATCAGTGTTGGCGAAGAGTTGTCGGGAAAGTCGTTGAAGAAGAACGAGATAATAGTTATATTGAATAAATTCATCCAAAGGCCAGTCATCAGGAAGTTGTGCGAAGACAACGGTTTGAATCATCGGCTCATGAATGAGGCGTTCATTAGTTTCCGCAAACATTGTGTTGAGTCGAAAGCGTTGGCCACAGAACTGCATCTCATTCTCAGCGATATCCTCCAGAATGTGGCCAATATTGACGATCTGTTCCCGTATTTCATAAATCACGCGAAGGTATTGTTTCCGCACTTGGATTGTATCGAAGAGCTGAAGAAAATCAGTGATTTAAGACTTCCGCCCAACTGGTACTCAGAGGCCAGAAGTATGACTCGGAAAGTGATCTTTCATTGCGGACCCACTAATAGTGGCAAAACATATCACGCGCTCCAGAGGTTCATGACATGCAAATCGGGTGTCTATTGCGGTCCACTTAAACTGTTGGCCGTTGAGGTCCACCAGAAGACCAACGCTTACGGCACGCCCTGTGATCTCGTGACCGGCGAAGAGCGACGCTTTGCCGGCGAAGATAACACGGCTTCCAATCACGTCGCCTGTACTGTCGAAATGTCTTCAGTCACAGAGAGGTGTGAAGTGGCGGTGATTGACGAGATTCAGATGATCCGTGATATGGGTCGCGGGTGGGCGTGGACTCGCGCTCTCCTCGGAATACCCGCCGAAGAGATTCATTTGTGTGGAGAAGAGGCGGCACTGGATCTGATCAAAGAGATGATGGCCGCCACCGGTGAAGAGCTGGAAGTGCGTCGATATAAGCGCTTGACTCCAATCACTATCGAAGACAAGGCTCTCGTGTCGTTGGATAACATAAAACCCGGCGATTGTATCGTCTGTTTCAGCAAAAAAGATATCTTTGGTGTAAGTCTTGAGTTAGAGAAGAGGGGACACGAAGTGGCCGTCATTTACGGAACACTTCCTCCGGCGACCAAATTGTCGCAAACGAATAAATTCAATGACCCGAACGACTCGTGTAAAGTTCTTGTGGCCACTGATGCCATCGGAATGGGTCTGAATCTGAGTCTAAGACGAGTCATATTCTACTCGTTAATCAAACCGACGCTCAATGAAAAGGGAGAGAAGGAAATGGACGTAATATCTACTTCTCAAGCGCTGCAGATCGCGGGTCGGGCGGGAAGGTATGGCACCAACTTTTCACACGGATTTGTCACTACATTCAGAGCCGATGATCTGCCGCTCCTTAAGGACGTACTGTCACGTCCTGTGGAGCCGATAGAGGCGGCGGGTCTGCACCCGACCGCCGATCAGATCGAGCTCTTTGCCTATCATTTGCCGAACGCAACGCTTTCTAATCTAATCGATATATTCGTGAGTTTATCACAAATCAACGAAACAAACTATTTTATGTGTGATATCGAGAGCTTCAAGTTCTTGGCAGATATGTTACAACACGTTCCGCTCCCTCTCAGGGTTTGTATGCATTCACTCTCATTGTGTTGTGTATTAAACCGTGTTTTGTGTGCCCTCTCTATAGGCCCGGTATGTGTTTTGTTGCGCTCCCATTAACACCAAGTTTGTATTCGTGTGCACAATGTTCCTGAAGTACGCGCGGCAGTACTCGATGAACCAACCGATGACACTGGACTGGTTGTGCCGACACATCGGTTGGCCAATCGCTACGCCCAAGAATATCGTGGAATTGGCGCACTTGGAGTCCGTGTTTGATGTGTTAGATCTCTACCTATGGCTGAGCTATCGATTCGCTGATTTGTTTCCCGACGCGGAGTTAGTTAGAGATATGCAGAAAGAGTTGGATTACATTATATTACAGGGAGTTCTCGGTATAATCAGACTCTTGAAGGCCTCTGAGACGAACCGCTCGTACTCTTTGGCTCAAACATCGGAGAATGAATTTCTCCCTAAATCTAAAGACATTCATAAAAGCCATACATTTTCCGCCACTTATGACGAAGACATCAATGAATTGCAAAGACTGACGAGTAAATCAACTAAACAATCCATGAAAGAGTCCTTATTAAGCAAACAGTTAATCAAAAAGGGATTAATTACTAATGAAATACTGACTCGTCTTCAGGAAGAATGGTCTCAAAATATGAATAAATCAAATAAAACTAAACCTATCGTCGGATTAAATACAAAGAAGAGCAAGAAATGATTGATTCAGTTGTCATTTAAGTTAAATGTTAGTTAATTTAGTGCTTTTTAAATATACATTTAGTAAAAAATAATAAATATAAAATTGATTGCAATGTGTGTTTGAAAAGGCATTTAAACTTTAAATGTGGAGAAAATTGGTTTAAATGTATTGAAAGTATGAATCGTTTGAGCGATGACTGCATTGACGAGCGATGAGTACAACATTTGGTATGCATTTGGCGTACATTCAGACTCTATTGTCTTCATGTCTAGTGTTTACGCCCTTTAACTCAAAATCGCGCCAAAACTGTAAGACATGTCTGGATGTGAAACACCATCTGATCCGGAGTTGACTTCTTGTGCGGCATTCTGGCCATCAATACAATGAGTGGTTCATCGCATTCGCACTCATATTACGTGAAAATATAATTAATTTATAATTAAATCACTCATTAAAGCCAATAATAGCACAAAACTATTTAAAAGTCCGCAAAACTGTGACAATGAATAACGTCTAGAAATAGCCATTAGTTAATGCATTGAAATGAATGGACGCCGGGATAGGAATGCTTGACATAATTGGCGATCACTTGAGGTGTGCTTTAAATGAATGGTTGCTTACAATATGCTGTCTATAGTGTAGTGAAGGGATAGCAGTGTTTGGCGCCAATAAAAAGCAATAGTTTTATGGCATTAATAGTGAGGTTTGTGTTGAATGTGTTTGCATTGAATGAATGAATGAGTGCTTTATATGTCTGTCAGACACACAGACCTATCGTATAATCAAGTGATTTGTTTTCAAAACAATATCACTATTCATTTCATCAAATAGTGATTCACTTCACGCGTGACTAACTCTTCGTTTCGGACCAGCTTTGGTGACCAACGAGTGATTGGTTTTCTCGTCTCAAACAATGGGACACAAAGTGAAAGAGTCGGAGGAAGAGCTGCGGCGACGGTTCAAAGAGTTGGTCTCTGATCTCAATTTGGACAAAACCAGTGCCGACGAGGCGTGGACTTCGTACCAGAGGATTGGCATCAACTATACCCTCGAGGTTTGTGTCCATTTCATTATCATTACTACTGTATAGCCATTGAATGCCTATGAGTTGACTCATCGTAACCGATACGTGAAGTACTCGAGTGAGCACTTCATCCCTTCAATTGCAATATGTTTTCAATTGAATCGATTGAATGCTTTGATTGGTATAACAATTACATTGATTTCCCGACTAATGATTGGTGTGATTGTGTGTCCAAAAGGGGGATCAATTGCATTGGTTGTCGTGTGCGGTATACGTGGCCTGTCGTAAGTGTGTGACACAAACCGTCGGAAAAGTGGTCAAAATTGAGGGCAATTTGGTTTCGTTGACTCGTTTGCTTCGGTCGTGTAAACTAAGGTATGTTCTCTTGTGGTCGGGAACTGCTCTCTTAGATCCACTTCTTTCCTATAGTTTGGTTCAGTTCTTCAGCAAAATGAAGAAGTGGTCAGATATGGCCAACTTGTCGGCCGAAATGAGACAAAAGGTGGACCATTTGGAGCGCAACTTCAGTGTATCGACGGTTATCTTCAAAAAGTACAAACCTATCTTTGAAGACGTGTTCAAAGATCCGACTCTTGTGGTCAATAAAAACGCTAAGAATCGAAAGCAGAGGTAATGTTATAAACATTTTGTTTCCAACATTTAATTAATTGGATTTTATGGCCAACAGTCGAAAGCAATCCATGTCTTCGACGGACGTATTCTCGTTTTGCTGGACTCTCTTCGTTCACATCAAATCAAATTTTCCTCAAATAAGCGACGATTTAGTCAATTCTTTCCATTTATTGCTCGCATGTATTGATTATTGTTATTACAATTCACTTCTCGTCGACAACTCCAAGGAGTTATTGAATCCCAATTTCAGTGGTAAGTGATGTGATGTCTTCCATGTGTTAACGCAATCAATTAAAACGGAAATGAATTGTTAGAATTGGTCAAAGATATGAATGAAGACGGCTCTAAGAAGACGGACCGTCATCCCTGTATAATACAGGCGCTGTGCGACAAATGGCAGGGAATATCAGTGGAGGCGAAGACAATCAAAGAGCACTGGTGTAAGCCTTGTATCAAACGTATGATAGAGAAAGATCTCCTTAAGTGCAAAAGTCTCGGCGTTTTCGACGTCTCTTATTATGACAACAATTAGTGAGTTATCATGAGTTATAAATCGATAATTTGAATGAATCTAAACTGTGATGTATTTGTGTGAACAGCAAACATATAATGAAAGAATACGATCAGTTTGTCCTCAATATCGGTGACTTCGATGAACGCATATTCCTTAACGAGAACGCGACCGAAGAGTTGGGAACTCCTCAGTCCGGCGACAAAGAGTTGGCAGAATTGGTGCAAACGAGACACAACTCCAAAGAACACCCGAACCCCAACTCATTGGTTCCGACCACTCCTCTCACGAATCGGCAATATTTGAGTCAAAGGCCAAACATAACACCAATGACTCCGATAGCGAGCGCTATGAATAGCGTGAGTCGTCTTCAGTCCATTCTATTGGACAGAAAGGATGAGCCGAACGATGCGCTCGAATCCATATTCAAACTGTGTATTAGAAATCCAAAGGAAAAGATTCAAACCTTATTGAAGGCAATGGGAGACCGATTTCTCAATGCATATAATAATGATATGCAGTCGTCATCCCCGGCCTCTCGCATGCTGTCGACCAATGAAGAGATGGGTCCGCCGTCTCCAACACCTAACGCACAAAACGATGAGTTCGCCAAAAAGCGTCTCAAACTCTCGATTAGTTTTTATTACAAATCTCTCGAAAACATTCTTTTGAGTGAAAAGAAGAGAATTCCAGCGGAAAAGTTGGGCGAAAGTCTGACAACGATTCTGGAAAAGGATTCGTTTCACTTGTCTTTGTTTACCTGTTCTCTTGAGATCGTACTCTTCTCTTATAACTCACCGAAACAGACGTTTCCCTGGGTTTTGGACGTCTTCTCAGAGGGAACTGATCTCCGTTTACATGCATTCAATTTCTATAAAGTAATCGAACCCATCATTCGTGAAGAGGACGGACTGTCCAGAGATGTTGTCAAACATCTGAATTCGATCGAAGAGAAGATTCTCGAGAGTATGGCCTGGAAGTCAGATTCGCCGCTTTGGGATCTGATTCGCGCGAACGCAACTGCGAAGACATACGTGCCGTCGTGTCTGGAAGTGTCGCTTCCCATGAATAACTCTGGAAGTACTCCCTCTTCGGTCTTTAATTCTCCGGTTTCTCATCTCAAGAAACATGAGATTCAGTTTTCTACGGGTTCTATAACCGATAGATTCAGTTCTCCGTTCAAGAGTACTGCCAAAAGACAACTCTTCGGTTCGATGAAAGCCGACGCTCCGACCACTTCAACGGCCGGTGCCTCACAAATGGGACATATCGTGCAAATGATGATTCCGGGTTTGTTATTGTCATTTCATTTTATATGTACTTTTAACTAATATAAGTGTTTTAATAGCCAACACACAGAATGGAGAGAGAATGTACATTCAGGTGCCGGCTATTGCTCTGACTATCGCTCAGCAAAACACAACCAATCAAATAGAATCGCCGGTCACTGAAAATGGTAAACCAGTGAAGTCCGGACCGATTGGCCTATTCTTCAGAAAGGTTTGTACCTAAAGGTGTGACCGTTTGTATCAGTATTTCATTAATATATTTGTCTCCTAAAGGTATATACAATGGCTGGACTCAGACTTAGAGATTTATGCGAACGGCTAAACATATGCGATGAAGACATTCGCAAAAAGATCTGGACTTGTTTTGAGCACTCTCTCCGACAGCACACGGATCTCATGCGTGACAGACATTTGGATCAAATAATTATGTGCGCCTTCTATGCCATCAGTAAAGTGACAAAACAGAGTCAGACTTTTCAGGATATTATGAAGTGTTATCGACTCCAACCACAAGCGGCCAGTCATGTAAGGCTTCGCTACAAATTGGTTGATATTTTTGATATGATTTCTACAATAATCGGTTTACTCGATAACAGGTCTACAGAAGTGTTTTGATGAGTTCTATCCGAAGACGACGCAACTCTGGAAGCAGTGACACGAGTCGTAACTCTGGCTCGAGTTCACCACTGATGCAAGAGGAGAAAGACCGGATCCGATCGTCGAGTACTCTACCGGTGCCGCACCCCAACAGTCAGCCGCCGACCCCTACACGCGTTGCCGGCACTGGATCTCAGTTTGAGTTCGAAGAGCGCGGAGACGTTATTATGTTTTACAATAACGTCTATTTACCGGAACTCACCGTTAAATATATAATGAAATTCTCACCAAATATTTCGGTATGTTTTGAAAATGAAAATTGTTTTGTCCGTTAATTTGAGCCAAAAAACAATGTTTTACTTGAATGACAGGAATCGCCTCCACTCTCACCGTTGCCCCGACTCAACGCTAACCAGATGTCTCCTTATCGACGAATATCGCAACGCTTCCCGTTGTATATCTCGCCGCTGAAGACGGCTAACTTCCCGCCGTCGCCGAACCGGCCGCTGTCCTACCGGTTCCAAAGCAGTCCCGCCAAAGACTTGCGCGCCATCAACAATATGATGAGAAGCGGTTCGCCGTCTCAAAGGGTGAGCAAAAGGATATTACAGGACGACATCGAGAGCGAGAACTCGCCCACCAAAAGGCAGTGCACCGAAAAGATTGACCGTAAGATTCGGGACATTGTCTCCGAGCGACAGAGCATCGAATCCAATGGCGCTCTCAATAATAGTAACGGCAGTGCCGTTGACAGTAGTAATGACTGACCGCATGACTGAATCCAATACCCGGCCCTTTGACTGCTTGTCAATCATGACTTGACATTTAATTTGATTTAATAATTATAACCAATGAATCGATAGTTTCTAATCTTTTATTCAAATTCTTAACTTCTGTTTTTTGGTAGTCTTTATAGTCTCTCTTATATATTCTTTATACTGTACATCAGTTTTTATCAAAATTTTTAGCAGATTTTCGATCATGGCTTCAATAACTATATATTATTATTATTAAAATAAAATATAATTATATATCCATTATATCAGTAAATAATAAAAATGAATTATTTCTTTGGTTTGCAAATTATTAAAATCTCTCATTTGTTAACAAATCAACGGATTTGTATTGAATGGTCCGTAAGTGTCATTCACTTTACAACGTATCCAAACATTATATATTTTGTCGGCTTTTGAATGAAACGCCAATTCATTGTTTCCGGTAAATAAGGATTTGGCCGAAACTGAAGGAACTTCTTGTATAAGTATCTCATAATTGATATCACTTTGTGAACACTTCATATAAAGTAAATTCCACGGTATTTGCCACTCAATTAGCACTAAAGTTGTGTCATTCACTCGCCGTTCACTACACGATAAGTCCATCACAACTCCCGGTTCTATCGTATGTTTGGTCGCAATCATTGGTTGTAATGATTTATAAAATGCTTTTCGCAAAACGGGTTCAAAGCTATCGATATCCACAATAGTGTCCTGATATATGCGATACAACCAATAACTGTCATTACAACACAACTGTTTGGGCACTTCCTCTGTATTGGTGACAATTCTGTGTTGATCTTCAGTCGACAAGTGATTAATTCCGCCAAATTCTGGAGGATATTCTTCGTGAGTGATAGTGTTGTTAATAAATTGGTTTTTCCAATAAAAATAATTAATATTAAATCCTTGTAATTGTGTTAAAGTCTTGTAAGGAGTCAAATGATTTGGATTAATAGCAAATGGAAATATTTCTATAAGACTGGAACCAGAGGTTAGAAACATTGATAGTATAAGAGCTGATCCGTGTATTCCGATCATTAGTTGCGCGCAATTCAGTTGTTTAATAATGAGCTCAAAATTACGATCCAAATCATCAATTATAATGACCTCGAGTTTTGTAAAACGAGATATAAACTCAATTAACGTTTTTTCATTCACTATCTTTCGGTTTAATTTTCGTGACACAAAAACAACATAATTAGTAACACATTTCATAGGCTTTCCTATCAAACTATTGGCAAATTTTCGCACAGTCTTTGAAATAAGCAGCGATTCTTCGTTGGATCTGTTTATAGGACTCTGAGGACTACGAAAGCCATAGTCATACCAAGTCATCGCTTTGGAAAGGCCTATAAAAGACTCTTTGAAGCAATAAATTGTGTTATCGTTTAAATCGTTTCTTACGATTGATTTCGGAAAAACTGAATCAAAAGTATTTTTATCAAAAGGTTTGTGAAATGGTTGCGAATAAATATCATCTAAAAATATAGAAGTGATTTGCTTTTCACCGATTTCTGTGAGTGTGAAATACAATGGGATTAAGTCGTCGTGAAAATAGTGCATCAAATTATCGGTTTTGAAACGACTCATGATTAGTGTCTTTCCATCAAATGTCTTAATATTGTATTTTGTGCTCAAATTATTCACAAAGACATCGATAGGAATTTCAATGTAATTAAAGTAAAACTGATTGTGATTTTTGACGGATGAGAGATCCAGTAATGCCGGAGCGAAACGATTGTAAGGAATTCCCGATTTTGTCGACAGACTCTCATCCCAGAGGAATATATAGTCTTTTGTGTCGGTCTTATAGCAGAGGTTTGCAAAACGACAGCGTCTTTGGGTGTGATCTGAACCCAAACACCAAACAGAAGTCTCTCTGAAAATGTAATTCAATGCATAATTATATATAATTAATATCAAATATTAATCAATTTGAATAAAATACACATCTTTTCAATATTTCCTTTATTAAAAACTAAATTATTCATTCATTAAGACATTAATTAATAGATTTTATCTAAAAATAATTATTCATTTAATAAATATAACTGAAATTAAAAGTCTCGACGATTTGTATATAAATGTGTAGAAAATGAAACAAATGAGAAAAACTAGAGAAATATAATTACATATAAGTTACACAAGAATTACAGTTAAAATTCACAATAAAATGACTATTGAATGCTTTGTCTGAATATAAATGTTGGCTATAATTTAAATTGAACACAATATCCATGAAATACCTTATGTTATCCAATGTATAGTCAAATACGTTTGGCCGCAAAGTATTGACCGAAAAACCCAAATATTTCATTACCAGCAATGATATAGAAATCACTAACAATATATTGATTATAAAATACTTGCAATTCATTAATACTTGCAATTGTATTACAAATTGTGTACAAAATATATAAAATTTATAATCTTTTAATTAAAAAACAGACATTTAGTGGATTGAAATAAATGTCAAATTAGTGGCAAAGTATTCAAATAAATACAAAGACAAACCAATGGTTGTGATTATGGCATATGTATAGCAATGGGAGCGCGTCTTTCAATTCGTATGTAATATAAGACTTATTATTAAAATGAAAATATATTTTACAAATAGATTACTATAGAAATGAATTACTATTAATTGAATATTAAATAATGTTATAATCAAAGTCCTGGTTAATAGAGTAGTAATGAGAGCTCATTGAGAAAATTCATGGCCTGAGCGAAGGGCAGGTGTGCGACACACGGGTCGACCAAATCGTGCTCTATTTGACAGTCAATTAACTTATCTTTAATCTGAACGTATGCTTTGCTGAAGAAGTTAAGCCCGTTATTGATTGTGTTGATGGGAGGTATACCGCAGGCCATCGCCATCGACGGCCGGTTAGGGTTCGGTGTTATGAGAATCAATGGCAAACGGATACTCTTCTTACTCTTGGGATTAGTGGCGGCCAAAGCGTGCAATACGTACTGAGACAACAGATTCACACATCCAGAGTAGCAAAAGAGGTTCGCATCGGGAGTGCTCTCAGGTATTATCGTATACCACAAGACATCGTTGAGTAGATGTATTTGTCGGGCGTCGACAACGATCTGCACCTGTTTTAAAATGGCCGACAACTGGAGTTGAGCCAACTCTAAGCCTTTGTCGAGTAAATCACAATTACTGGCTGTTAAACAGTCGATGGCGTCGAAGAACTTTTGGTTCACGCGTTTGTCTTTATCGGCCGATTCGAGTAGAGCTCTGGCGGCAAACGCCACGTCATTGGCGTTATACTTGTGTTTGAATCCACGGCTGGCGATGAATGAGTGGCCAATGATCTGTTGTAACTGATATTTGGTACTCAAATCTTCGACCCATTGTTTAACGTTATTCCTGAGCTCCAAATCCATTGAATTAAACTTCTGTTTGCATTGAGACAAAGGAAGACCCAATTCTGCGAGGAATGCTAACAAACGCTTGTGTCCTCTGAGTCTCCATATCTTGAATTTGCTGGAGATATACATTGTGTGCCGAAGACTCTCGTAAAGACTCCAATGTCTGTACAGCGAGAGCTTCAGATCCTTTTCGTAGCTTAGCTTCAAATGATTGTGATTTGTGACCATATTTTGGTCGCCATTCGCGGCGATTCTGTTCAACGCTAGCGTCGGTTCGCCCCTAAGATTGCGGAGTCGAGCCATTGATTCCCGGATGAAATGGTTTTGTTGATTCAACTTTGTTTCGCTAATCTTTCCGTTAATCAACTGATCCGAGACACCAATGATGGCGAACCACAGCAACTCATTCGTGTCTTTTGACAGTTTCCACGAGAGATCAAACATAACGAGCGCTGAAGAGACGGAACAGTGAGTGAATTGTGTGTAATTGAAGATCAAAGTCCTCCTCTTCTCCTGCCATTCCTTTTTGTCACTCCTTTTCTTCAACTGTTGTATCGATAGTTGTCTCACATCGAGGTCTTCGTCGTCGTCGTCATCGGAATCCCAGAACAAGTCTTCGTAGGCGGGAATGGCTTCGGTCTCCGACTCGACAGCATTGAGTCCAGGAATGGTGGCTATAATGGAGATGTGTTTGTCGTGATAGGCGTTGTAGATATCGATGGGTCGCCTCGAGTCGCAGATGAAGACGCGAACCGATTGGTCGGGACTCAAGAAGTCGAGGACATCGAAAGTGCTGCCGATGTTAATGAGGAGTAGTGTCTGCAGACCATCCGATTGGTCCCGATATGAGGTCAACAATTGGTGTTTGTCTTTGATTGGGATAACGGTGTGGAGGATGTGATCGCAACCCAACAGATACTGAAGTATTTTTGTGGCACAGATTGAGTCCAAATCGTAGGACACGTACACCAGAAGACGTCCTCTGCTTTTGAGCACATAATCATAAAACTCAGTCTTAATGTCTTTGATAAACATTTTGGGAACTGATCTTTGAATGCAATCAACGATTCATTAAACCATTCATTCATTCATTGAATTCAACAAAACATATGAAATATTGAATTACTGTTCACTCAATGAGTGCTCGAATGCGCCAAAACTTGAATGCATTGAAAGGGAGTTTCACTGCATTTACAAATGTATTCAACGTTCAAACACTTCATTACAGTATTGGCCGCACTATTGGTCGCACTATTGGCCTCACTATTGGCTTCACTCTATCTCTTCAACACTTAATATTCGTTTTTATTATTAAAGTATTTTTCATTTTTATAATTAAATAATTAAAAAATTTAAAAAACATAAAATTATTACAAAAAACTATATTATTATTTAGATGCGATAGTAATGCATGTATTAATGCAATGTATGGCCCATTGATAGGCAACTCATACAGTAATGCTATTATTTTTAAAACGTTAAAATTGTTTTAACAAAAATTTTATAACTTTTTAATCATATAATGTATTGCTTTTGTGTAAAATTTTTTCAATTGATTTAAATATTTTCGATCAAATGTAAGAATAAATATCTCACTGAAATTTTGGGCAAAATTGTGAAATCTTTATATGTTTTTCTACTAGATACTTTTAGTCGGTGTATATTTTTAGTGTGATGGAATAAATACACATCAAACTAATTAAAACATTTTCCATTTAAAATAATAACGAAAAATGTTTTGGTTTTTAAATATTTTAAATTTATTCAAGATTCTTACAAATTCTGTTATATATTCTATGAATATTTTACATAAAGTATTAATTCTAAAATTTTATAATACAAGATACCAATGATTTTACGACAAATTCCGTATTATGTTAAGTATTTAAGTAAATTATATTCTGATAATAGTAGTTAATTTAGTTTATATTACACAAAATATGTGCAATATAAATGTCGTTTACATAGAGTGGTTGAAAATTTATCCTAAATCTTTATCGATACCCCTAAACAGTGTCAACCTTTTACCACTACATCTCTAATCAAATTGTCTACTCTTCATGCGATCCCTTATTCTTTATATGATATTCTTTATGATCTCTTTTCCCTCTTTGTCTCCAACTCTATGTTATTTATTCGCAAACTTTCTTGTGTTTAGTTTTAGGAATTTTTATTACAAAATAAATTAAAACTATTGCCGAATAATTTTAGTATTAAATCTTAAACACATAATAAATTTAATAAGTTTTACAAATAGTTTTTGATATTGAAGTTCCATCAAATAATGTCAAACAAAATACAGTATATATTATTTTATAAAATGCTAAAATTATGAAAATATTAATTGTCATAAATAGATACAGGTAAATTGATTTAGTGATAAAATAGTGTTTTTGCATTTTAATGAAATGTCGAAAATATGTTGTCAAGTAATTATGACATTATGTCTGATTATTTCATGAGAATATAACCATTTGTATTCATATTTAATAATTATACATGTTTTATAGATATTATTTCAACATAAATTATACGCTCATAAAACTATTTATTTATAATAAATCATAACTTTTATGATAACGATTGTATGCATTAAATTCTGGTGATTAAAAGATGCGATCAATGAATCAAATATTTTTTATAGCGTTATATTAAATATAAAACTTTACAAATTTGTTTAAAAACTTCAATATTTTGTTTATAAATATATTATATTGTTTAAAAACTTTATAATTTGTTTATACAAATAGTATTAAAAATAATTAAATTATTGAATCGATAATAATATGGGGAATAATGTGACAAAAAAGGTATGAATTGAATATTGAATCAAAAGTATAGCAAATAATGACAAGAATTCAAAGTTTGAAATAAAGCGCCCAAAGAGTGAATGCATTGAATGTTTGGCAACAAAACCACAAAACGATACACTTTTCCAACACTTCTCTCCTAAACATTATTTAAATGTCTAATCAATTGAATCATTCATTCAATCATTCATTCATTCAATTATTTATTAAATTTCATACAATTTAACATTAAGTGCCTCTCATTTATTAATCATTGAATTATTTTGAATATGAATTAAACACCAAATGCTATATAAATGTGTCGACAAATACTGATTAGCGAGAAATCAGTGGTTTTTTACGTGAAATGCAAAATAAGTTAACTTTAATTGAGACCAAAAGTAGTGACCATTCGGTAAGTGTTTAATGATTGACAGTTTATAGCGATTAACCATTAATTGATTGGTTTGAATGGCAGACAGAATCGGTGCCATCGATGGTGAGGACCGGTGTCTCGCAGATGAAGTGCTTGCGATCCGAAGAGGCGTCCGGACAGCCCTTCGAAGAGGTGAGCGCTCGACTCCAGTCAGACCTGAGGAATGGCTTGGATTGGAATGAAGTCGAGAATCGGATTAAATGTTACGGTTATAACGAATTGGAGGTCAAACCACAGGAACCCCTTTGGAGGAAATACATCGATCAGGCATTGCATTCACATTCCGTTTGTTTCATCACTTAATTAATCGCTGTTTATATTATAGTTCAAAAACCCGTTGATTATACTACTCTTGGGATCAGCTCTGGTGAGCGTTTGTATGCAACAATTCGATGACGCCTTCAGTATTACTGCCGTTAGTATTATTTGGTTTGAGAGTCGGTTAAAGTGTAATTGATTTGTCAATTGTGTTATTCAGGCGATCATTATTGTAGTGACCGTTGCGTTCGTTCAGGAATACAGATCTGAGAAGTCGTTGGAAGAGCTGAACAAATTAGTTCCACCCGTTTGTAACTGTCTTCGCTTAGGACAGGCGGAGACACTCTTTGCCCGACTTCTGGTTCCGGGAGATATAGTTCTGTTGACGACCGGCGATAGAGTGCCCGCAGATCTAAGACTCTTCGAAGCGGTCGACCTCTCCATAGATGAAAGTAGTTTTACGGGCGAAACTGAACCCTCGCTTAAGACTACTTATCCAACGAACATCAAAAGTAATTCAGTTTCCGACAGACATAACATTGCATTTATGGGCACTTTAGTGAGATGTGGGAACGGGAGGGGTATTGTGATCAGCACTGGCGTCAACTCAGAGTTCGGTGAGATTTTCAAAATGATGGAATCAGAAGAGGCGCCCAAAACACCGCTCCAGAAGAGTATGGACTCATTGGGCACTCAGTTGTCGTTTTACTCGTTCGGAATAATCGGAATGATTATGACATTGGGATGGATTCAGGGCCGACCTGTTCTCGAAATGTTTAACATTGGTGTGAGTCTAGCGGTGGCCGCCATTCCCGAAGGCCTGCCTATCGTAGTGACAGTTACGCTGGCGTTGGGTGTAATGAGAATGGCTAAGAGGAAAGCCATTGTCAAGCGTTTGCCAACCGTTGAGACGTTAGGCTGTGTGGACACCATTTGTTCGGACAAAACCGGAACACTCACTAAGAATGAGATGACTGTCACCGCAATCGTCACGTCAGAGCTCTATAGGGCGGACGTGAGTGGCGTCGGGTATAACGGGAGCGGAGAAATCATTCTGAGCGAAGACACCGAGTCTTATAAGAAACAGATGGACGCAATGAAGAGGTTAATAGAGGTCGGGTGTATCTGCAATAACGCTGACATTACCGGTGGACAACTTAGAGGCCAACCAACCGAAGGAGCGCTCATAGCGGCCGCTCACAAGTTGGATATGTTTGGCATCAAAGATAAATACATACGATTACAAGAGTTTCCTTTTTCTTCTGAGCAAAAACTAATGGCAGTTAAATGTATTCCAAAGTTTGGCCCCAAAGACGAGGAAAGGTATTACGCGAAGGGAGCCATTGAGAAGGTGTTAACCCTCTGTACTAAGTATTCTGCGAGTGAGACAGTTATGCCTATGGATACCGATCGACAAAATCAATATATTAGTGAATCCCAATATTTGGGTCGAAAAGGATTGAGAGGTATATTGTCTTCAATTCACTTGAAAACAATTACTTTAGTTTTGGAGTAATTTTTCAAATAGTTCTGGGCTTTGGTTATGGGAACAAATTGGATGACATGGTGTTCGTGGGAATGGTTGGCATTTTAGACCCTCCGCGACCTGGAGTTAGAGAGTCGATACGAACTCTTCAGGCCAGTGGTGTTAGTGTTAAGATGTTGACCGGCGACTCAATGGACACCGCCTGTGCTATCGGTAATCCATTTGCTTTATTAAAATCAAATTCATTGCTAATAAAATCATTAACAATAGCGACAAGACTTGGGTTTTACGCGACCGGGAATTCAGTGATTTCTGGCCAAGAGATCGACGTTATGGACGATCACTCGTTTGCGATGAGAATCCCATCAGTGAGTGTCTTCTATCGCGTGGGTCCGGCGCACAAACTCAAGATTGTTAAGGCCTTACAAAAGAACGGCGCTATCGTCGGTATGACCGGCGATGGTGTCAACGATGGCGTCGCTCTCAAGAAAGCCGACATTGGAATAGCGATGGGAAAGAGTGGAACCGATGTGTGCAAAGAAGCGGCTGATATGATACTCGTTGACGACGACTTCTTTACTATCATGGCTGCCATAGAAGAAGGAAAAGGCATTTTCCATAATATTCGCAATTTTGTTCGCTTCCAACTGTCGACGTATGAAATCCAATCATTTGATTATTATTTTATTTAAACACCGATTTATTTATCATAATTAGGAGTATCGCCGCCCTCTCACTGATAGCCTTCTCGACACTCATGCATATTCCTAACCCTCTGAACGCAATGCAAATCTTGTGGATCAACATAATAATGGACGGCCCGCCCGCTCAGAGTCTAGGCGTAGAACCTGTCGATCACGACATACTTATCCAACCGCCGCGTAATGTCAAAGAACCGATGATAACAAAGGACCTGATAATTAACGTATTGGTTTCGGCCTCTATTATCATTACCGGAACTCTATTTGTATTCGTTGCAGAAGTATATCACAAATATATTGTTAAGCTTTAAATCGCCGAATAACTGATTGTTTGTCTTTCAGATGAGTGACGGAAAAGTGACTCCAAGAGACACGACAATGACTTTTACGTGTTTTGTATTTTTCGATATGTTTAACGCATTGAGTTGTCGTTCACAGGTATTGTCCACTAAATTTTGTTTGTCTTTCAGATGAGTGACGGAAAAGTGACTCCAAGAGACACGACAATGACTTTTACGTGTTTTGTATTTTTCGATATGTTTAACGCATTGAGTTGTCGTTCACAGGTATTGTCCACTAAATGATTACTTTGTTTTCTGGTATGAATTGAAATGAATTGAACGCTAATTTCAGGTGAAGTCTGTGTTCACAATCGGACTCTTGACGAACAAACCATTTGTAATATCAGTAACGGGTTCTCTAATCTGTCAAATGCTTGTCATATATTTGCCACAATTGCAGAAGATATTTGTGACCGAAGCCCTATCTTTTGGTGATCTGTTATTTCTGTTTTGCATCACTTCTACTGTTTTTATTATCTCAGAAATAAGGAAACTATTTATGAGGAGAGCTGTTAAGAAAGAGAAACGAAATCAAGTTTATCAAGATCATATGGTCTAAATATGGTCATTTCATACACGCATTGTTTGTTTTTGTATATTTATCATGTTTTAACTACAATTTTGTTTGCATTGACTTTTAGCAAAGATTTATTAACTTTTTTAAAATAAATGATTGGATATTATCTATGAATTAAATCATTATTAGAAAAACGATTTTGTTTGTCTTTCAGATGAGTGACGGAAAAGTGACTCCAAGAGACACGACAATGACTTTTACGTGTTTTGTATTTTTCGATATGTTTAACGCATTGAGTTGTCGTTCACAGGTATTGTCCACTAAATTATTACTTTCTTTTATGGTATGAATTGTAATGAATTGAACGCTAATTTTAGGTGAAGTCTGTGTTCACAATTGGACTCTTGACGAACAAACCATTTGTAATATCAGTAACGGGTTCTCTAATCTGTCAAATGCTTGTCATATATTTGCCACAATTGCAGAAGATATTTGTGACGGAAGCCCTATCTTTTGGTGATCTGTTGTTTCTGTTTTGCATCACTTCTACTGTTTTTATTATCTCAGAAATAAGGAAACTATTTATGAGGAGAGCTGTTAAGAAAGAGAAACGAAATCAAGTTTATCAAGATCATATGGTCTAAATATGGTCAGTTTCATACACGCATTGTTTGTTTTTTGTATATTTATCATGTTTTAACTACAATTTTGTTTGCATTGACTTTTAGCAAAGATTTATTAACTTTTTTAAAATAAATGATTGGATATTATCTATGAATTAAATCATTATTAGAAAAACGATTGTTACAAATACTCTATTTATAAACTTTTTTAAAAACATTAAAATCAAAATATTTTGATCCCAAAGTGTATATCAATAATATATATAAAAATATAACAAAATTATAATTATTGTGGGATTTAAAGGCAGAATATACTGTGGACTCAATTGTTCAATGACTGCAAATCGGGATCAATCAATGAGAGAACACTTCCAACCAAATGCATACTTCCAGTTACCAACACATGAACGGGAAGTGGTTTTTCTTTCTGGGTTTTGTCGTTAATGAATTTGATTGCGTCTGAAATACACGATTGCTTTGAAATAAGAGTCTTTTCGTTGATTTTGGACCAAACTTTTGCATTAATAGAGCAAATCTCGGCCTCTCGTTGTGAGGTAACTGTAAAGTTGCTGTTATCCGAAGTAAAGTCCTTATTGTTATCGACTTTGTTTGGACAGAAGATTGCGATATCAAACTTAATGTCCAGCGCTCTCATGAGTCTCTCTGTCGGCCGATCGCCCGTACAGTTGAATATCAATACTCGGACCAAACGGTTTGAAGTCAAAAGTTTCTGCGATTCGTCGCAAAACCATTTTGAACAGTGAGATAAGGACTCGTGAGTGTGGGCGCCGTCCAAGAAGTAAATGCAATTGTTTTTGCGCAATATTTGACACCTTCCGGGCCAACAACACTTTGAGAGTCCGTTTATGTGGTTTGCATTGAGTGGGAAAATGTCGCAAAAAGTGCCGTCTTTTGTGATGAACGAAGAGATCTGATACTTATTATTGTTTATTTTGTTGAGCCATGAGTTCGTCAACTGAAGAGCTAATGAGGCGTTCAATTTCTGAACCTCTCCTGAAAGCAAACCTTAAGTTAATTCAAACAAATTGATAAAATGTGTTCAAAAATACTTTCGCAATATTTGTTTAACAAATGGATAAAAATAAGAGGAATTGATAAACAATATTAACGATTAGAGACAATCGATGGGAACGGAAATGAGATAAACGAATACAACAACAAAAACATTGATATGAATTAACAATGGATTTACCTTTGATTCCGAGTTCAATGGGAACCGAATGCGGATAAAGTGATAGCAGTGGGCAGACATGTAGTGATGAAGATCTTAACTCTTGAGCCCTACTCTTCAACACTTTCATCGCTGCACCGCATTGTTCAACAGTAAACGCTGGAACCGATGACTTAAAGATACCGGACTTTTGCCACGCGATCTGCTCTATAGTTGCGCCTAAAAGAGAGCAGTGATCCAAACCGAGTGACGAGACGCCCGTCACAATTGGTTTGGGCACTACATTAGTGCAGTCATACTGTCCTCCAATGCCTACTTCGAGAACAGTTGCGTCCACTTTCTCTTTGAGAAACACTTCAAACGCCATAAGAGTCAGGAAATTGAAATACGGAGGCATTCCTATCGACGCGTCTTTACGTCTTTCGATTGTCTTATAAACGGACCAAAAATACTTTGCAAACAGTTTTTTGGTGATCGGTTCGCCATTGAGTCTAATCCTCTCTCTGGCGGCCACTAAATGAGGCGATGAATAAAATCCCGTTTTGTATCCAAATCGACGAAGAATACTGTCAGCGAAAGCACACGTCGATCCCTTCCCTTTAGTTCCCGAGACATGGATTACATTCAATTGATTCAGATCTGAGGGCTTAATGTCCAAAAGCGATAGAAAGTAAATGGTTTTATCCAACGAATGGCAGGAATTGCTTCCTTTCTCTCTTTGAATGGCATTTGAAATCGTTTGAGCGTTTGATTGCAAACCATTCAACGCTTTGATCGCCTCTTTATAGCTAAAGTCATAAGCCTTTGGGTTTTCAAACAAATTAATAAGATTTTTTGATTAATTTTTAGGTCAAATAATTAATTAAAATAATAATTTAAATATTTTGCACAAATAAAAAGTTTTTAAATGTATAAAATTACTTCGTTTTCATTGTTTGAATGAGTGGTCACACCTTCGGAGATGGAGTGCGAGTGCTGTCGAGTATTAAATGACTTAAAGTCTTGGTTCACATTCAGAAAGTCGAGAGAAACACAGGAACTCATAATTGAAGCGAAGTGTGAAGTGATGTTAGTTTTGCAGAGTTTATGCAATTTATATAATGAATGAAATCTATTGGAGACGATATACATGTCATGTCCTTCAATGACAGCACAGAATTAAGGAATCATTTCGTTGTGATAACAGAGACTAACGAAACTCTTTATCAAATCTAATGAAAATACAAACATTTGAATTGAAATTAATATTTTTTAAAAAATTCAATACTTTTATTGTTAATACAGAAAATGTTTGCTCTAATTGTGTGATTAAAGACAAATATTGAGTGCAAAAAGTGAGAGTCAAATGATTTCCGATTAGAAAGAATTCAAAACTTTTAACATATAATTAGCGAACTATTGATAAACAGTTTGGGAATAGTCTGTACTTAATTGTGATGTCATATCATTTGCATAACTTGTTATTAGTTTGTCATTTGACTCCACGAACTGATCTTATCATATCTTTTACTCCAGCATTTCCACTCTCTCTCTCTCTCTCTCTCTCTCTCTCTCTCTGTAAAGTTGCTGTTATCCGAAGTAAAGTCCTTATTGTTATCGACTTTGTTTGGACAGAAGATTGCGATATCAAACTTAATGTCCAGCGCTCTCTCTCTCTCTCTCTCTCAGGAATTTTATTTTTTTCAAAATGTCATCAAGGGTTTTTGAGGCACACAAACAAAATATAATATTATTATAGGAGACACTATTTTGTGTAATTTGGTCATACAGAGATTCGAGGTCGAACAGAGATTCTTCGGGAATTCCCGAATAAAATTAGTTAATAGAATGTTCGGGAATAACATCCAGTTAGTTTTGGTGGTTATAATGGAATATACCAGTTTTATTTTCCCGAATACTCCAGATTTTGACATATTTTAAGAATATTTCCAATTTTGATATATTTTAAAAGAATCTCGAAATTTTATGCAAAGAAGGCTAAAACACACTCTTGAGTTTAACGATGTTAAACGATTTTTTTCTCAAATTAAAAATATTTTTACAAACAGCAGACAAACTTAAAGAATAAAACTTCAATTTCTATTTTATTCTACTTACTATGCTTTATTTTAAAATGATTTAAATCTATAATTATTGTTGAATAAACGTTAATTCCCGAATATTCACGAATTTGACTATTTTACTCCCGGTTCCCGACCGAATTTGGTTGTTTTTAGTCCCGAATAATCTCTGCTCTAGTCATAACTTCCAGTATATTTGAGATATACAGTACTTTGGTTTGTAAGAAAATACACAATAATTACAGTATTATTACATAAGAGCATTACTGTTAAATGACGGCTTAAATAACAGTATATCACAAACTAATAACACAAACAAAAGTTATAAAAACAATTGATTCTGAAAAACAATTCCAATGAATGAAAGATAAGACAATTTTGTAATAACATTGTAATCACAATATGGTAATTATTGATCAAAATGATCATGGCAAAGTACAATTAGCCAATTGCCAATAAATTTAAAAACAAATACTAAATCATGAAATTTGTCAATATTTATAAAATTGAATTGAATTTAGTTATAAAAATCACGTGTTTTTTATTGAAATAGTAGTAAATCGACAATAATTGCAATTATAGGACAATTGGTTACAAAAAATATATTTCAAAATCAAGTCTCGAATACAAAAGTTGTGTTCAATTGAAACACACATTGAATTACTCACACAATTGTGACAATCGGTGCCAATGAATGCTTTTGTTGACGACAAACATTGTTTCACAACATTTCACATGTATTTCAAGCAATTATTAGCCTATAATTTGTGATAATTTGTTCAATTGATTGCAATCTAAAACATAAACATTTGATTCACATGTCTTCACATGTTTTGCAATCAAAGGGATGTTAAGTGAAGTACTTTTCAATAGTATTGCCTTCACTTCACTCCAAGAGATCACATCTCAGCCATACATTGCCATCAAATATGCATTACTTGAATGACAACTCAATTCATATGAAATATAATAGAAAGTTGTGTTAAGGGTTGTTATGACAGACAAATTGTTTTGTTAAACATATCATTAGTTTATGAATTATTTGTAAAATTTGTGTTAAAAGTTCAAAATTGGCGCAAAAATGGTGTGAAAAATGAGTGAATGTTTTGAATGAAAGCATTGAATGATTGCATGAATTGAACGACAAATGAATTGCTTTTCGTTTTTTGAAACAAACATTTGATTCATATTTGAGTGACATTTGAGACAATTTGTGGTCAAAATGAGTACTCAATTCAACTTCGGATCGATTCCCGCGACCACTAATGCCTTCTCGTTTGGCACGCCTTCGGCCACCAGTCAGTCCACAGCACTTCCATCGCTGACCACAACCACATCTCAGCCCTTCTCGTTGGCCACCAATCAATTGATCCCAAACCAGACGCTGACACTCACTCTGACCACTGCCTCCACAGCAGTCACGCAGACGTCGACACAACAGACAAACGCTTTCCACGGTTTGGGCGGAACTCAAAGCACTGCCTCCGAGTCGGGCGCCGATCAGACGCACAACGCGTCCAACAAATCCAACAAAGAGTCGACTTTTATTCCTCCAGAGATGATGCCATTAGTGGAGACATTGAAACAGTTTGTGAAACAACAGAAAGCCATTCGCGAAGAGAACTCTCAGCAGAGGTTCTCAATTCAGCCGATCCTCGAAGTCGGCGCTCAGATTGAGGACAATCTTCGGGTCCTTTTGCACAAAATAGAGGTCGATATTCAACGCAACTCTAAAGCCATGAATGCCCTCAAGAAAGACACAAATAAGTTGTTGTCTTCAGCGGAGATGGCGTATAGGATCTCACGAGTGGATGTCCTGCAGACGCCCTCCACTTACACAATGGCTCAGAATAAGTACATCAACGCCAGTACTCATCAGTATTTCATCGAAACCATCAACAACTTTGAGCTCCAGATGAATGTCTATTCAAAGCAGATCCAAGACTTGAGGACACATATCGATAATATGAACAAACCGTACAGTTCTGAAGAGTTGTTCCAAATTATGCGTAAACAACACGAAACTCTCATTTCATTGGCGGCCAAAGTGTATGCCATTCACGAAGACATCAATCAATTGAAGCTTAAACTCAAGAACCAAACAAACTATTCGTCAAAACTGATGGCAAACGCGTTTGAATCGAGAGAAAGCCATTCATTGAATATGAATGACTCTTTCGTCGGTCCGAACCCTTTCGGGCTGACCGGCGATGAGAGTGTCTTTGGATCTCAACTTCAAACTCCGCAACCATTGAACACGACTCCTATCGTGGGCTCAGCCAACCCGTCCCTCTTCTCGACGCCAACACTACTGAACCCAATTCCCACCACTCCCTCATCGTTTCAATTCACTCCGTCGACCACCGCTTCCAGCACTTCCCACTCAAGAGCCAAACGTTGGACCACTTCATAAGTTTTACCACTTTAGACATTAATATTAGTTTAGTTTTTAATCTTGAAAATTGAAAAATAAATATCTTTTTATGAATAAATTGTATG